CCCTCCAGCCTGTCCCACGGCTGGGGTGACTGGGCTTCCGCCTCTCACTTAGCTCCTGGCCCTGGTCCCTCAGCCCCGACTGGGCTCCCGTCTCTCCCCTCCCAGCCCAGCGCTGGCTGCAGGGCCGCAGGGCGCACCGGGCGGGGCGGGTGGCTCTTGCGGGTGCCGTGCCGGTTCCTCACCGTCGCAGGTGGGGTTTGCCTCCTACGTGTGGGGCTCTGCCCGCGTGTCCTTTAGGTGAAAGGGAGACTCTAGGCGGTAGAAGAGCCCCTTCCCCGAGGCCATGCGCCGTTTGGAACACGTGCATTCGCTGGGGTGGAGGGGAGCGTCTGTCTTGCGAGCGGGGAGGACGCAGGCGCGTGCGGGAGAGCCGCGGTTTTGGGGAGCGAGGAGGAGGGGTTAGCAAGCAACAGCAGGGGACACAGCTGGTCGGGAGCTGTGTGGGAAGAGCGCAGCAGCAGACAAGAAAGCAAACAGGATGTTGGGAATCATGCAGAAAGGGATGGAGAATAAGACGGAGAATATCCTATTGCCTCCCTCTAAATCCACGGAGCGCCCTCCGCGAGGACACTGCGGGCAGGTGTGGGTGCCTCATCCCAGAACAGATCTCTTGGCATTGGAAAAGGTTCAGAGAAGGGCAACAAAATGATTCGGGGTTTAGAACGGCTGCCATAAGAGGAGAGATTAATCAGACTGGGACGTTTCAGCTTGGAACAGAGGAGACTAAGGTGCGCAGAAAGCGAATAAGGAAAAGTTATTGACTTGCTCCCAGAACACAAGAACTAGGGGCACCAAATGACATTAACAGGCAGCAGGTGTAAAACAAAAAAGTATTTCTTCAGGCAACACGCAGTGCCCTGCGGAACTCCTTGCCAGAGGATGTTGTGTGGCCAGGTCTTTAAAGGGTTCAGAAAAGCACTAGATACACATGAAGGGCAGGTCCGTCAGTGGCTGGAACATGGGCACTGCCTCCGCAGGTCGGCCCTTCTGCCAGAACCCTGGAGTGGACAGTTACAGCCACCCATGGCCATTCAAGGGAGGCAAATAGTGAGCAAGGAGCCGCCTTGGCCCCTCCTCTCGCTCCGCCGTGGTCACGGCGCGTGGGCAGCCTGGTGGTGGCCGAGGTGGCACTGGGTGCTGGGGGAAGGGGACACGCAGATTTCCAGAGCGGCAGGGGCCAGAACACGCCTGCCGCTCTGTCCTGGGATTCCTGCCTGTCTCTCTAGCCCACTCCGTGGGGCGGGAGAGGCCGGGCTGGGCCTTGGGTGCGGGGCGGGTGCAGAATCCCTCTTCTCAGGCTGGCACCGCTTCTGCCCTCAGCCGCATCTCTGGCTGGGCCGCGCCCCAGCAGGACGGGGGTGGAATCTGCACCAGGCTGATGCTC